CAAGGGTAATTTTCCTTAGTTTACTGGGGATATTTTTAGTATAAGATCTAGCTTTAGAGCAGGGAAGAAACTAATAAATGAATTTTGTGGGAGGGAAGCATATTTTTTTAATAGTCTTTCATTTAGAGCATCTGGTTGGAAAATATTTTGGGTATGATATTCCAAAAATGAGAGCAGCAACAATATATTTTTTTATAACCATTGCTTTAAAAACTCTGTATTCCTCTAGCTCATCAAGTTCTTATGAATTAGAAAATTAAACATAATGCTTGATAGTGTCTATGTAAAAATTCCTCTTTGGACTGTTGTTTTAAGTTCATGTCAGACATGTTTCAACCATAATTCTGAGCACTGGACAGTAAAAAATCAGCATGTATGTTTGCTGTGCAGTGATCTGTATATTGCACAGCATAATAGCTACATTTGAAACTGTCTTTCAATTCTACAGGCACAGGGGGAAATGTTAAATTTGTACTGTAATTGCAGATAAACTTGTTCTTCAGATATTTAACATGATGGTGCTTAAACCTTTTAAGAGGAGAATAGTTGCTGAACTGTGAAAAGAGCAACCTCTTAGTTAAAACAAACATTGGCACTACTTGTGTACTTTTAGCTAGGAATAAATAGCTTGTAAATGTATAGCTAGCTATATATATTTGTATACAAATATTTGTAATTTAAGTATTTTTATGATGTACAAGAAAAGCCATTAACAACTTATTTTTCAAGGGCTGACAGACTTTCCTCTAGTCTTCAAAAATTCCAATGCTCAAGAAATATCTTTAAATTTAAGCAATAACTCATATAAAGATACACATTGAAGTCTTGACCCTGTTGTTCGAGATTTCTATGGAATCAGAGAGACTGCTTCTGTTATATTGCTATTTTTACTTGGTTTTTTTCTTCGATGTATTTGTGAAGGACATGCGCTTATATATGCGTGTAATAAAAATCAGCTAACTGATACCATAATATTGGGCTCTTCATCGAAATGCAGTTTCTTCTTTGACTCAAATAGCAGTAATGAGTAGGCTAAAGAAGTTCAAAGAGGAGCCTTTGATCTTCCTAGTTGCATGAGGAACAGGTACTGGGCACTTGCTCTCCATACAGACGTTGCCCCTTCTCCAGACCTATGGGGTGTCCAGAGCAGGTTTCTGTATGTGCAGAAGACCAATGTGCTTCTCACAAAGGATGGTGGTAGAGCAAGCGCTGTCCTGGTTATAGTGCACCGTCAGCACCTCTGGAAGTTTAATTTTTTGTGGACATCACGTCCGTCAGTCAGGCTTCTGTCTGCTGCAGGTTGGTGGGTGGCAACAAAAGATGCAAATAAATTATTTGGGGTGGTTTTGTGCTTTATTGTGATACCTTTAAAAGTGAATGGTGCCTGTTCGTGTGTTTGAGACAGGATTTGTGTTTCTGGCGAGAGTGTTTCTGTTCAAAACAAAAAAGGCTGAGCTAAGGGATGTGCATTGTATTATATATTCAACTATAATTTTCCTGCTGTTTATTTAACTTCTACCCAGGCAATGAAAAAGAGAGAGGGAAAATTGGCTATGGGAAATCCAAGAACTGTTTGCCTGTTGGAATTTTAGCTCTGCCATATTCCCTGGCCCTAACTTAGTATCTTTGCATGATATACTTTATCGACTTAATAGGACATGCAAAGCCCTAGCTTAAAACTGCTTTGGTCCTTTGGGCTTCTAGTAAAGGAACATTTCAGAGCAACTTTGAAAAGGTCTGTCTGACAAAATACATCTGTGTAAATACTGGGATAAACCCTGGCTGGCAATATCGAGGGAATCCACCATGAGTCCTAATGGAGAAGAATGATTGAGATGACATTCCCCTTCACCTCAAATTTGTGCAGAAGAACTTCTCTTGAACCTTCTGCACCACCGAGGAGCTGGAGGACAGGTATTCTGCATGCATGGCATGGGAACAAAGATACTTTGATTTTATCCGTAGACTCAGTTCTTTGACGAACTGATGAAGTAAATGGATACATTGGTGTTCACACCCACTTACATCAACAGTGTCCAATGTTAAACATTTATTGTTGGTAATAACCGCCCATCTATTTCAGATTTTCTTAGTCTCCTGGGCAGACTTTGTTGCAAAAAAAAAAAAAAAAAAAAGAAATCACTTTGAATATATTTTCTTTTTTTTGTTGTTGTTTTGCCTACTTTGACAAGAGGCTTTAAATCCCTGCACTTCAGGTTGTCTAGAACTCAGCATTTTTATATGGTTAAAAACAAGTGTACATACAAAGGTGAATTGTTTGATTAAATGAAATGTGACTTTATACATATGATAATACAATTGACTTAATTTATGATTGTTTTATGTATAAACCGTTGATCTATTTGTTCAGATTGAATTTTCAGGAAAGTATTGAACAGTGGTCTTATTTATTTATAAAGAAGCGACTGTTTTGAGCAGGAGTCCTACTTATTTCACCTAACGGTGATTGTAGGAGTGTTAAAGGTAAAAAGGAAGCAGAAAAACTAAAACTGCTTGTACATGTCACTCAAACTAGGAACGATGTAAGCTGAAATGCTCAGTGCGAGCCAATATCACCAGCTCTACCTCCACTGGTGTGTAGTCTCCTTTTCCCAGACAGAACCAGTCTTCAAGCTTGTTTGTACTAAAGGGCTTTGTTGCAAGATCTTTTCTAGTTGTAGTTGAGGAACATGCCTGGCCTGAGGATACTCCTGGTCTTCCATGGTTATATCCAAACTGGGACACAAACATACATCCCTCTTGTGAATTCGAAGGCTTCAAAGGCTGCAACTCTTGCCCTTTGGGTGCAGTCAGAGTTGGTCATTCTTCAAACTGTTATTCAAGTAAAACATGGTGCAATATGTTTCTGTGATGCAAGGAACATGTATGCAATACAAAATAATGTTAAAGAACCTTTCACTGTGTGTGATTCCTGCGTGATGTATTTGAATAGCTGCGCCTTGTGTAACATGCTGCTGATTACTGGATATCTGCCAGTCAGAGCAGCTCTTATCTTGCATTTATTATTTTAATATCATATATGGATGTCACAGATTAGTATTTCTGAAACTCATGTGTGGACTAAACATCATTTCTGTTCTTCGTTCTGTGTTTCTAGTCTGGGACTGTGAAGCTGACCAAGCCTGTGGCGTTATGGACCCAGCAGGATGTGTGCAAATGGCTGAAGAAACATTGCCCTAATCAGTATCAAATCTACAGTGAGTCATTCAAACAGCATGACATAACTGGTAAAGTATGCACTATCAGAAATATTTTACTTACTTGAAATCTGGCAAATTGTTTTACTTTGTTGTTAATAGATTTTGACTGTGCACTGAGGGGTTTTTGTTGATTGTATGACTAGAGAGTTGCAAGGTTTAGAGCAGGGGGGAATATATCAGTTTTCATAGGATGTGGTGAGTGATTCCCCCATCTCTCTAAAAGATAAATTTCAGATTATTCACGGTTAATGTAATGAGGAAAGAAGTCAGTCCGTATGTGTGTAAGGGCCACGCCCTGTTCATTCCAAATAAATAAAAAAAACCCCTAAACATTTCTTAATGTCCTGTGGGGAAAAACGTAAATGAGTTTTTTTCATCGAGGTGTTTCACCTTGAGTTCATATTCTTTTTTGCCTTTTTTTTAAAAATTAAACTTAGAGTCTGTAACATGTAGGATGGGAAGCAAGCCCAACTGAGACCCTCCCTAGGTCTGAGGCAGGATAAATACAGCAAGTTCATTTCTGACAGATGTTTGTCTAACTTTGTTCTGGAAAATTTGCAATGGAGGAGATTTTTACGTCTCTCTATTCCAGTATTTTATGGTCCTTAAAGTTGGTATTTTCCTAGTGCCAATCTAAACTACTGTTTCCAGCCAATGAAACTGATTTCTGTCCCAAGTGTAGCTTGAGTGCAAACGATCGTTCTTTCTTGCAGCCTTTCCTTTATTGCATAAGGGGCTTCCTACTTGCACATACTTTCCTTGTCTAGTCTAAAAAATACTTGTTTGTTCTATCATGGTTTGTCCCCCAAATACCCACAGGACCTCCAAACCTTCAACACTTGGTGTCTTGTCTTAGAAGAATGTACTAAAAAGCATCATTGTATTTTATTTTCCTATTTACTTTAGAAGTTGATATTGATTTTGTTGATCTGCTTGACTTGTTAACTCCTACTCAGTTTGCTGTAGTGCTATTTTAGCTGACCATTTTGAACTGACATCAGTTTAGCAGAGTAACTGGGTTAATATAAATATAGATGTAACTTGGTAGTCGAATAGCATTTTTGCTCATATCCCAGGCAGTAACTAATCTGTAAAAAGTTTAATGTGGAACACTAATTTTTTTCTCTGAAGTGGTGGTGTACAAAAGTGGGAACTGGCATTCAGCCATTTAATATCAAGCAGAGGTTTGAGTTTCACATACAAATCTCAGTCTTAATAATAATGTATTGTTAACTAATGCATGTTTCAATCGGTGTCTGTTCGTATACGTGTACTTGTAGCGTTTCAAATTTTTCCATTGACTCCTGTTGCTATTCTTTCCTTTGTGATAATATATGAATGATTGCAAACGTGGCAAACTAAACTACCGATATTTGTTTACTATGTAGCCATGACTACGCATACACACTTACATGTGAGAGGTGGTTTGTATTGGTTTGGTTAAGTGTTGAGTTTTAGTACATAACCATTGTGCTCATTTCCTCTAAGTCATCATCTGTTGAATGTAGTCAATAGGAATGTAGTCTCTGTCTCCACCCATGTGTACAGAGCTGACTGCATCCAGAGCGCTACCAGAAAAAATTGAAGCCATTTTAAAATTTTTTTCTAGTAGTGTTTTACTATCATATTGTCTCTTTTTAGAATTAAGGCACTGTGAGATGAAGTTGAAAGGAAGAAAAAGTTGTTTTCATTTCAACATAAACATAGATGGAAAACCTTGTACTTTCATTGCAGATGTGCAAAACTTCCAAGTTTATAGATCTCTATGAAAAAGAAGAATCAAGATCAATCTTTCTTACTTTACAGAAAAGACGTATAAGGAAAGTATTAAAGAGTGTTAGAAAGTAAGTCTGCAGGAAAGAAAATAACTTCAATTCAGTAACTACCAAAGAAAAAAAGAAATGCGATCAGTGTTTGTACGGATTTTATAAAAGTATACTGTGATAATATTATGATTGAAATCAATAACTCAGGAGGATATTTCCAGTGCTGTTGGTCCCTGTGACTCTGATTATTTGAAATCTAATAAGGGGATAGAACAGTGGATTTGTGTCTCAAAAAAAGTAGAGCATGAAAGGAGCTCGGAAACTAATGTGAAGATTAAGCCAAGGTAGTGTAACTGTTTCCAGATATGGCTGTGGAAAAGTGATGATTGTTCAAAATTTCTCAGGAATTAAAATGACTTTACAGGCTGCTTTGATACGGAAAAATATGATGGAAAAGAGCTTGAAGAAAGTGACATGAAAAGGATATTTAAACTTTATTTGAAGATAAAATCTAAGGCGTGGTCATGAGCCAGGAAAATAGTCTTGGGCAAACGTATCTAAGAGTTGTTAACCATAGGTGTTGAAAAGTGTGGCATTTTACTTGGGACTATTAGTTGCTGATTACAGTTTATTGAGTTGGGGGCAAAAATGCCACTCAAAATGTCCTTTTCTTTGTGGAGATTTTATACCTTTTTACTATTCCTGACAAAGAGCAGCTGCAGATGTATAAGCAAAAAATGCTTAATCTGGTGATTTATCTAGTAAGAAAAAAGATCTTCATATTAGCAGTGATCTTGAGGATGCCATGGGACAGAGTGTACTCTCATCAGATTTGCAATGACACTAAATTGGCAGTAACAGTCAATAGACTCAAGAGTAGGGCTGCCATTTGTAGGGACCTAAGCATAGGGACCAGACATAGGCTGGAAGAATGCATCAACAGGAGCCTTATGAAGTTCAACAAGGACAAATGCAAAGTTCTGCAGCTGGGAGGGCTGAGCTCCATTCAGCCTGGGGCTCGCTGGCTGGGGAGCAGCTTTGGTGAAGAGGACCTGTGGTCTTGATAGTCAGGAAGATGAAATGAACCAGTATTGTGCCTGCAGCAAAGAATGCTAACAGAATCATGGGCAGTATTAACAGGAGCATAGCGAGCTGATCAAGGATAGTCATTATTCCCCTTTACTGTGCACTTTTTAAGACTCCAGTTCTTCCATGCTGGAGCGCTTGCCCTGTGAGCAGGGGATTGAGGGAGCTGGGCTTGTTCAGCCTGGGGAAGAGGCAACTTGCCAGGCTGGGATGGGGGGACTAGCAGCAGCCCCCAGTCTGTAGGAGGATGTTATCAAAAAGATCTAGCCAGACCCTTCACAGCGATGCATAAGAGATACCAGATTTGAGTTGAAACAAGAGGCTGAGGCTGAGCCTAAGGAGAAACTTTTTCCCCTTGAGGACAATTGGCCATTGGAACAAGCTGCTCAGAGAGGTTGCTCAGTCTCTGTCCTGGGAAGGTTTCAAGCCCCAGCTAGATAAAACCTTGAGAAACCTGATCTGATCTCACAGCTGACCCTGCTCTGAGCAGGAGGTTGGGCTAGAAATCTGCTGGGGTCCCTTCCAAACTGAATTCTTCTGTGGCCCTATGCTTTGCTGAGTACTTAATGAGTACCTCAGAACCAGTGAAATGCATTTTGCAGCCAGTTAGGGAGAATTAAATACGGAAAGGTCTAATAGGAAAGTGGGGGAGTTTTTTATACACAAAATCCTTGAGTTCAGAGAGTGGAGTATTTGGTTAAGTTGACTTATTCAGCAACAGGTCAGAGGTCATTTTCATGGTGTTGGACCCACAGCCAGACCCAAAAGAATTTGGAGGACTAATACTGAGCAAGATCTAAGGGCACCTGATAGGAATTAGCAGTGGTAGGAAAAATAAGACAATAGAAAGGGAAGAACAAAGATGACAGTGGCCTGTACAAAAAAGAAAGCGGTGTAATGGTAGGGCCGTATCACTGGAGGCTCTACAACTGGTGTTGGCGTTTACAGCAGTATGAGGAGACAGAAGTTGCTCTGACTGGCCAGCTTTTTACACTCATTTTATAACAATCCAGGGGACAAACCTTAGAAATGGACCTTGCTTTCAGTGTGCATTTGTGACTGTGAATTTGCCAGACAGTGGTACTTTTAAATGACTAGGGAGTTCTTGAGAGATCAGTTGTTTTTTGATGGTCTTATCCTGTACCATTGAAACAAATAAAGATTTTTGCAATGTCTCAGCATTAACAGGGGCAAGACTGGGCATAGAATGACTGAGGAATAACCATTTTGGGGAAAATGGTCCATTGACAAAGTAGTAAAGAAGATGTCTAAGTAACTGCTTATTGATGTGTGATTTGTTGAAAGAAAGGAAAGAGAGAAGCCCTGTTTTACCTCTTGTTTTTACGCTGTGTTCCCCAGTGTGCTAATGCATGTCTTCAGAGCATGAGGTTTTAATGCTATGATCATTAAACAAACCTCATTCTGTCAAAGTAATACCCAAGAGGTACCTTCGTCCAAGTGAAGGAATTTAATAGGAGGAATTTGAAAGGACTCAAGCCTTTTTAAATTAAACTTTTAAGGAGGAAAGGAACAGGACTCAAGAAAAACCTCTTTTTAGTTTTAGAAGGGACCAGAACTTATGAATATTCATAAAATACCAAACAGCACCTTGGAACATGAAATACGAATTGCCACTGAAAACCTGCTACAAACAGCCTTAAAACCCACCTAATTCTGTAACCTCTAAAGATGCTTGCATTAAATCAGCTATATTGACATACATTTTTATGAAATTCATATAAAATCTTGCTTTTAAAATCTGAATTGATGTATTTTTTTCACTTCAATAATATCTTTGCAAATATTAGGGGTTTATCACATCAGCTGAAATGCTCAAGTTATTTAGCACGTTGGTGAATGGATGGTCTTGTGGTTTAAGATACTACACTGGAATCTGGAGAAATCTTGTCTCTGTTTCAGGTTACTCTGGTATTCTTAGGAAGCACACTGGATCCTCAGACTCTCTACATACAGAGAAAGGGCTTCTTTTTCTTCTCAAAGTGTTGTCAGATACCTTTCAGATTTCCAGAACATATATAGTTTAATTATTCCCTTTCACAGAACTCAGCTGAGTTTTGTGCCGCAACCAGTGCGGTGACTTGGGGATGGAAGGTATGCAGTAGAGTGCAGGAGGCCTGGGTTTCATTCCTGCCTCTGGGGCAGGAAGGGTGACCA